AGGAGAGGAGAGGAGAAGAGAAGAGAGGAGGTGAGAGGAGAGGAGGGGAGAGGAGAGGAGGGGAGGGGAGAGGAGAGGAGAGGAGAGGAGGGGAGGGGAGAGGAGAGGAGAGGAGAGGAGGGGAGCTATCTTGAATGGGTGATAGGCCATTCTGTGTCTAAAGCTAGGAAAGTCAGCTATACACAAGGTGGCTTTGGAGAAATGATACATGGCAGGTCACTTTGTGCGTTCCAAACTTCTTATCTTGTCTGTGTGTGCTTCCACACCTTGGCTACCCAACACAGACATGTGAGATTGTCAGAGAAGAGAGGCAGGGCCAGGGTTGAGGGCCATCTTGATGGCTTGTAGCCATGTGGTATAGTCACTTGTCAAGAGATTTCTGGTACAGATACTTCAGGCCCAAGGCAGAACCTTAATCCATTGTTCTACCAAACTTATGGTCTATATGGGGGTACAGGACAAAAATCTAAGGAGAAAAAAGGCACAGGGTGCCTTCGGTTACAATTGGACCCTTGCAGAAAGTACCAGGCATGCCACTGAGGGGAGGGGAGAGGAGTGAGGTAGGGAAGCAAGGCCTGCAAGAGGAGGAACTGAAATCTCAACTAGACCACAAAAGAGAGCTGGTGCGGGGTAAGGGCATCAGAGTAGAGTCAGGACTAGTTGGGCTATCGAAGGGTGGGGGGAAGGTACCACCCAAAGTGAGGTGGGCTGTCTAGAGGAATCAGGACTGGAGGCAAGAAGCCCAGACCATTTTGGGGTGGGGGTGGGGGACATATGGGCTGAAACAGGTGGAGCTCTGAGAATAGTCCAGAGAGGGGGTATAATGGTTGTCTGATGGGAGAGGAAAGGAAGGGAACAATGGGCTTATTGGAGGGGTCATAGAAATAAGTTCTCGTTCCTAGTTCTCAGTCTTCATTGTACTGTCAGAAGAAAAATTACAGGAAGGAGCATCACTTTCTCCACCATAACCACCACATGCCCCATAACCCACAACAGTGATATATATACAACACAACACACACCCCAGAGATAAGCCACCTACAATTCACCATAGCACACACAGCACAGAGCCACACAACATGCACTAGATACTTGTTGTCTGTGCCACACCATCAAATACACATTTGCATTTGCATTTCAGACACAGCTCACACATACATACTACATACATACTACATACATACATACACATACATACATACACACATACATACACACATACATACATACACACATACATACA